TTTTGTTCTGGGGGAAAAGAGTGTGTGAATGTTTCTATCTATATCATGTGAATAAAAATTGAAATACAGGTTACTGGGTAAGTAAATAGATGATAATTATAATGAGATGAATACAAATTGATATGGCAGGGGTAGCTAAACCCTAGAATAGTCCTAACAGTGGCTTAAAAAGCCACACATGAGCATTTTCCTGAGGTTTCCCTCAACACGTCCAGCACTCCCCAGCCTCAGAGCATTTATTTATGTACCTAGAGCTGCCTCAGCACAGAGTAAAAACCTCATAAAAACTGAGAGTAGAATAGTGGTTACCAGAGGCTGATGGTTTAGTGAAGCAGGAGGGGTGAGTAGGGAGATGTTGGTCAAAGTGTACAAAATTTCAGTTTGATAGGAGTAATAAATTGTGGAGATCTAGTGTACCACATGGTGACTACAGTTAATGGCAATGTATTGCATTTTTGAAAATTGCTAAGAGAGTAGATTTTAAATGTTCTCATTACAAAAAGTTATAAGTGTATATGGTAATGCTTGCATTGAAAAGCTCAATTTGGCCATTCCACAATGTATACATACTTTTAAATATTATTCTGTATACAATAAATACATACGATTTTATTTGTCAATTAAAAAATAAGAAAATTAGGTAGAAAAAATGGAAGTGCTAAAAAAGATCATTCAGGTCCACATAAATAAGATTTTTCAATACATTCTTTTTCTTATAACCGTATAAAAAAGTCCCTCACCTTGAATCTGTTTCTACTCCCATTTCACTCTAGACAGGATATTATTCTTGAGCATTTGGCCTCTCAATTTTGTTCATGGTGCTTCCCGAATATCCTGAACAGTGTACCTGATATTTCATAGGTAGTCAACAAATATTTGTAAAATGAATAACTGATTAAATGGATGAATAAATGAACATTACTTTGGGAGAAGTCACTAGAAACCATTAAACCGCTGTGTGTTTTTGTGTATTGCCTTACCATATAAGATATTGAATGTATCAATTCTCAAAATTGGAATTAAAAAGTAAAATATCATGCTTTGTATTGGTACTTTACACATAAATTGGACAAAATAATATTAACTCTAAGTTAATTCATCTAGGTAACATATCCCTCTTTAACAAGCCTATATCAGAATTTTATGATGATATGAACGTTAAGTTGCAAAATATTGAGATCACATCATGCTATAAATGTATTTTGCAACATGGATATAAACAATGTTTTACCAAATTGTTAACTTCGAATATATTTTCACATATACATATCTGTATAATAAAAATGATATCTTTTATAAACTGAACTGTCAAATTCATGTGTTGAAGCTCTAACCACTAATGTGACTATATGTGGAAATAGAACTGTTAGGGAGGTAATTAAGATAAAACAAGGTCACAGGAGCGGAGCCCCAACAGAATAGAACTAGTGTCCCTATGAGAAGAGGAAGAAACACCAGAGAGCTCTCCCTCTACGTGTGCACAGAGGACAGGCCTTGTGAAGGTACCTTGAGAAGGCAGGAAGAAAGGTCTCATAAGAAACCAAATTTTTCTGCACTTTGATATTGGACTTCTTGCCTCCAAGACTGTGAGAATGTGGATTTCTATTGTTTAAGCCACCCACTCTGTGGTATTTTGTTATTCCAGCCTAAACTAATACAATATCCAAATTGGATTTCATATGAACTCTAACTCATAGTCAATGATTATTGTAGTGATCACTTATTTAGTTGCAAGTTATATCAAATGGGCTTCTCATGAGGCCTCTTCTTTCTTCATCACAGTTCTGTAATTCTCAATGATCAATTTCTCTGTCCCTTGTGTTATCATAGTTTTATAAATATTTATTCTCTTTTGAGTGACTGTTTAAGATTTAGAATTTAGCCATTACTATAAAATAACTTTTAGTGTTTGCTTTAACTGATACTAAAAAATTAATTAGTTACTGGTCAGATCAGTGTTACATGGGAACTTAAAGTAACTTAATACTCTCCTTTGTGCATTGCGTACTCTATCCCTAGCCACTTATAAAGGAGTGTTTTCTCTGTTAACTACATTCTCTCTGCACTTCACCATTTGAAGTGGTTATATTGTCATTCCTGTATTTGAGTGATAAGAGAAAAATTTCAGGCTGACTGCTTCATATAAGACTACTTGATTTCTGTAGTTATTCTATAAAATAACCATATTATTTCCTTGTTGCATGTTAAACATGCCCCCAACCTCAACTTCCTGCTCCTACCTCTTGGGTATTCAGTGTTTAATAGTGTCAGGAACAGAGTATGGAATCTCTGTCTTTTGCACTAGTTTGGTGAAAGTTATGAAGCAACCAAAAAAACAAGCTCATATAATGGTGTTTAATTATGTTCTTTTAAACATCTCTAGAGGTAAGCATTAAATACTCTTGGAGAACTTACATTGGAATCTGCTTTTTGCCCTAAAGAAGCATTAACATATACTGTAATTGAGTGGACAATTATTTTAATACTATGAATAGAATTGAAGGAATATGCTACAAGTGCAATTATTCTTGCTATCCAGTTATCCTTTTGCTTTGTACAAAGTGGGATTCTATGACAAGTATCTGCTACTTCTATACATGAATGAAGTATTTCTCAATTCACTAATTCACTCCTTTAAATATTGAAGCTTTAAAAATGAATAACTTAAAGAATTTAAAACTACTTTTGGAAGAAAATATTTGTTCAGCATACTTCAGGGAGGTTCATATTAACATTAAAAACAAAAAATGTGAGAGACAATATGTATTCATCTTCATATTCTCCACTGTACATTGTGTATGACATAGGTTTAACAACTCATAGCTTTTCGACTGCATCATTTATATCTAAAACGGGTGCAGTATTTAATATTTATAGACTTTGCCTATATAACACGTGTTTGGTGACGGGATAGCAAAGATCCAGATGAAGATTCTGGGAGAAAGATCACTGCTGGGAAGTGGGGAATTTACCCCTAATAAATTGTTTATTTCCATGGGAAAGGTAGTTTTGATGAATTCTTAAAACATGTACACAATGCTTTGTAGAAAAAAACATTTGTCAAATTATGATTAATGATAGAATAAATATTAATAATGAGGATGATGATGGTAATGATGACAGAACATATCAGTCTTCACTCTTGGCTTCTTAGTAATAGTCGCCTGCTTTCCTTCTAGAAATTTCTTTTCCTGGGAAAGCCTATTGTAACATATTTTTCATCTGTTATTAATAATATAGCTATAAGTCACCAAACTACCTTAAACTGAAAACATTTGGTATGGGAGGTCTACAGGAAGTTATCATTTCTTACTCTTATAAAAATGATAACCTTTTACTTAAAAAAAGCAGAGGTGAAAGGATGATTGATTCTATTAGCTTTTATAGTAAACTGCAAAGACTTGATTTGCTCCAAATTTGTACTCTCCAGAGTAAAGGCAGAATGAGCCCCTGAGTGGAAAGGGACCATCATGCTTTCCCCAAACAGAGCAGTTACTTTGACTGCCCCCAAGAGATGCAGAGGGTTCTGCTCACTGTATAACTCTGGCTGGATATACATTGCTCATGTCATGCTCAGTAGACATTTCCTTCTAACAGTCAGACATATACGTATCTTAATTGGTTCAATTTTTGATATTTATGATTTTAATTTGTTCTGAACTCAAAATAGGAACATTGAGCAGGATATTAAGAAGGGCTACTCACTTAAAAAGTTCTTAGAAACTGATTAAAAGTAGATAGGAAAAATATAGGTAAAAATCTCCCTTCAACTTCTCTTAGCCCATAAAAATATGCTTGTGACAAATAAAGTTAGAAAAGTTACAGATAATCTGGATTGTCTATACTGTTTCTTTAGGTCACTGAATCTTTAGGTTAATTCAATCACGAGGCAAAGAGATACACCTGTAGTTATTTTTGCAATTATTAATGGTTCTTCAATTTCTAAAAAATAATTTTTCTAATTCAAGTCTTTCTAATGTTAATTGGTAGTTGTTGATTTTTAAATTGCAATTGCAAATTACTTAACAATCGCTGAAGAAGTTCAGTAAGCTCTAAATCTTTTAGCTTCTCTATTGATACCTTAATCACAAAATTGAAGCATCAATAGTAAGCAGATGAGCTAATGTAGGTGGTATCCATGTTTTCCTTGGTGTGCAAATCAATAAAGCTATCATGATGACTTTCAGTTCAATAATGTAGCTACTGGAAATGGACATAGCTTTTAGAATAGACATTTAAAATATGTGTCATTTGTACTAACAGGTATATCCTTGCCCCAAATTTTCATTATAATGGCTAAATTATCCTCACTGACTTCATATACTCACAGCATTCCTGAGAAATGCCAAATTACAAAGGAAATGGAGTTAAACAGATGACAGACACGACCTTGAACTATGTAAAACAAAAATTCTAGAGTCATATTGTCTTATTTTCCAGGTGCTTATGTGCTCCAGGTCAAGGCCACGGACGCAGATGACCCAACCTATGGAAACAGTGCCAGAGTCGTTTACAGCATTCTTCAGGGACAACCTTATTTCTCTATTGATCCCAAGACAGGTAAATTTTTTATTAGAGACAATGTTATCACCACCCCTTCAAATATTTAAACTTTAGTTAAATCTTGGCATGGAGAATTGCATATTCTAACACAACAATAAAGATTCAGTGCACCACACATTACACAGAGAAAATAGGATCTTTGCTTGCTGCTGCAGAACTAGTTTCCTTTAATTGAACTTCCTGTAAATATAAACCTTTTCACTTATATTTATAAAGTCCAAATTTGTTCATTAGTGAGTCTCCCTTATTAAAAATAAATTTAAATTTATTTTAAATTTTTCAGAAGCATATACATTTTTTAAACTCTTCTGGCTAAAATACCTTCTTATTTCAGTTTTCTTGGTTGGGTTCAATCGTATTCAGTTTTTGGCCTTATCAATACATGGTAAGATCCTGGAGCTTCTATTGGCATCTATATAATGATTATGGATGGTTGGTTTAGATTAATATAGACTTATGCTTAGGGGAAGGAAGGAGAGACTCAATAAACTGGAAACATCAAGATCATTGATTCTGTTGTATCTTTGAAATCAGTCCCATTTCTAAATAGAAAACAAAAAAGTTAAATTGCAGTTTTCAAGGCCAAATACGAGTAGCATAGAAAGGGCAGAGGGATATGCACTTGGAAGATTTTATCTTCCCTTTGAAATAAAATGTGGTCTCTCTGTTTCTACACACTTTGTTTTTGAATATTGAATACTTTGTTACAGACATTGAGCCACTTGTAGCAATGATCAAAGTAGGCTTTCCATGTCAGTTAAAGCAGAAACTCCAAAATGACAGTTATTTCATCAACTCATATAGTACGTTATAATATATTGCAAATTGAATTTAATACTGTTTATGATGTGAGATTAAAGTAATGGGAAAATTGTTAACATACTGGATTGATTACTTAATTTTTAAAATTATAAATTAACCTTTAAAGACCAACATAAATTTGAAAAGTACATATTTCAGACACTATGTATTCAAATGGGCTAAAAATTTTAAAATTTATGCTTCCTAAGAGATATATGCTAAAATCTAATATAGCAATTAGATATAGGTTAATTAATAATTAATCATATATTAATGTTGCCTAGAAACATAAAGTCTACTGATGTTTCTCAACTAAAGTGAAAGTGCAGAATCTGCAAAACTTTCTTCCAAATGAACCTGCCATTCTCTCTTCACTTCTTACCATCCTCATCAAGCTAATAGAGGGACACAGTCATCAAAATTTAAAGAGTAAGACAGGGGGTTGCTCCCTTATGTAAACCTAAAAATAGAATTAAGTGTAATAAGGACAGCATCAGTCCTTTAAGAAATTCTTTAAGAAGGGAGTATCAGTGCTGAATCGAATCCAAATGGTTAGGACAAAAAGCTCCTCTGGTTTGGACAGAGTGTTGGACACCAAAAGCCAGTTTGTCAAATGTTAAAAGTGAGTACATCATGGGAAAATTACATCTACGATATGAGTTGTTTTTCAAGAGATATGGTAGTAAAGATAAGAAGGTGTTCGACAATGTCATTGTTAACAAAGTTTTGTGGTGGTTGTCTAACTGTGGGGAAAAACCATATATATTTGAAGAAAAGAGGGAAAAAATGGAGTGGAAAGAGATTGAAGAAGTTGTTCAGTGAAGTTTACGATGGTACAATGCTCCAGAAGAATTAAGAAAGCTTGGATAATAGGCTGAAAATATAGAAAAAATGATGAAGGAAATTATTTTAAATATTTTCTTTTATCAGATGGAATTACTATGGGTTATTTTTCTTATGTAATTACATGTCTTTTCCAAATTTGTCATAATGAGTAATCTGACCATAATGGAAGAATGGATGATACACATCTTTTAGATCCCTTCGGCTTCTAGGGAACACTCCTCAGAGACCTAAAGAATGGAAGAAAGAGAAAAAGTGTTTATAGAGATTGGGGGAAGAGAGTCAGTTTAGAGTTCACTTATTGGGTTGTAGTGATGAACTTTATAAAGTACATGAGTTGATATACTCAGAATAAGAGTGACAGAGGAAATATTAAGTATTTAATATTGATAAAATAACTATAGATGAAACCAATAGCTAACTGAAAAAAAAAAGAAAATAAAATCAAACAAAGATGAATTTAAGCATAAAGCATGGGTTAACAATACAATTGCTGGAGTCAAATTAATACCAGACCAATAACAATTTTGTGAGTCAAAACACATGATCTCCCCTTCACTTTACTTGGTCAATATCAACTTTAGATGAATTTTAATGCCCTTAAAGGGTGTTATTTTACCACAGAGGATGTATACACATAATATGACTTCTGTAATTTTGCAGGTACATTTTTATACAATGTTGATTATTAAGAACTAACTATGAAACAATTCTGGCATAAACTATGCAATAGATTTTTGAAGCATTGATTTTCACTGGAGACAGGAGTCTCGATACTAACAATGCCTCAGACCACTAAACAGGAAAAGATTGGATGATGAGGCACTTCATTAATAGAATGAAAACTAGTTCTTCATGCATAGAAGCCATTAAGAAGACTTTTTGTCAAATTTATCACCTTGTGGTACATAAGAGTAAATCAAAAATCCAGGATAATTGCAATTTCTCAGAAATAGGCTCCATTTGTTCCAGCCATATAGCTTCCCTTTATGATTCCTTTTGCTGTTATTAAATAAAATGCATGAAAAACTAATATTATCTGAAATGTTCCATATTTGAGTGTAGAAAACAGTTTAAAACAATTCTTAAAGGAAGAGTCTCATCAAAACTCTGGTACCTAAATATTCATGAAGAGATAAATATAGCCATTTATTATTCATTTGAAATGAGAGAATTAAAAAAGAGATTTCTGTATTGATATTGCTGTGTGACAAACATTTCTAGCATCTCCATCCAAGTGGATATTGCAAGTTTATTTCCAAACAATTTAAATTGATGTATTCTATGAAATAAACCAAGAAATAATAGTGTTCTTAAAAATTGCCTTATTTAACAATTATTTGACTTAACTATGAAATAATTCACTCTGAATTAAAATCCAAATACATCTATATATATGCCTCATGATAATTGATATTTTAAACCCAAAAATGTATTAATAGATATATCTATAAGACGTTAAACAATGATGCTCATTATGCTTATTATTTGAAACATTAAAATGTTTATTATATTAACACACTGTATCATTTTATTATACAAATTATTACAGTTAATGTTTATAAAACATTAAGAAACATAATCTATAAAACATTAAACAAGAGCAAGAATATTGTAATTTTTATCCAGTACATAAAATCAGGATGCTAAACATCTCCATCACTTTAATAGTAGTTATTCTGTTTAAGAAAACAAATATTAGTATGAATGATTAACTCCTATGTCTTAACTTATGGTTAAAATTCTTTTAGTGCATTTAAATTTTTCCTAAATGAGTGTAAATAACTAGTCTTATTTAGGTAAATAGATATTGCTATATTATGTATCATGTGGTAATAATGTTATACTTTTCTAAATGATGTGAGCTGTACTTGAGAATACATTATATTATTTTATCTCAATATTTTCTTGTTAATCTATAAACTTTATTTTTTTCTCTTGTGATAAAATATACACAATATAAAATGTATCATTTTAACCATTTTACGTGTACAATTCAATGGTATCGAATACGCTTACATTGTGTGTAACCATTACCACCATCTATCTCCAAAACATTTTTCTCAATATGTTTTATGTGCATTGTCAAAAATGTTTTCCTTATAAATATCTATTTTTACATATTACTACATGTATTTATAGAATTCACATGAAAACAGCCGAGTGAGAATGGAGTTGCATGAGTTACTTAAAATTCACTCTTTTGGTATTTCATGCCATATAATTCTGCCCTACATTTCTGTTTACAAAAATCTGATAAAAGTGGTTACTATAGTGGAACAATAGTAACATGTCCACCATCTCATTTAGTTACCCATCCTTCGCCTCTCATTAGTTCTTTTGACTGTGTATCCTACATATTTGTTACTTTATATCCTTTGACCTACTTCTCCCCATTTCCTCCCCGCTACTCCAACCCTGATAGTCACTGCTTTATTCTTTATCTCTATATATTTGATCTTTTTTTTCAGATTCTGCATATAAATGGAGAGCACGCAATTTTTTTTCTGTGTCTGGATTATCATGTAATACATTTTTTCCCCTATGTCTGGCTTATTTCACTTAGCACAATGTCTGCTAGGCGCATTCCTGCTGTGGCAAATGGCAGGATCTCCTCCTTTTAAAGGCTGAATAGTATTTCTTTACACACACACACACACACACACACACACACACACACACACACTACAGTTTTTTGAATCCATTTGTCTGTTGATAAACACCTAGGTTTTTTCCATATCTTGGCTATCGTGAATAATTCTGCAAAACAGCAATAGACGTGTGAGTGCAGATATCTTTACGAGGTGGTGATTTCATTTCTTTTGGGTATATACCCAAAGAGGAATTTCTGGGTCACATGGGTATGGAAAATTCTTCTTATGCTAATTCAGAATAAAATTTTACAGAACTCAGATGGCTCAGATGGTGCTGGTTAAAGAAACAGAGAATATCTTCTTCCTTCAAGAGCAAAATTAAAGAGTTTTCCTATACAAAGAAGACTTTCCTTTAATACCTTCTTGCCACAATGAATGAATTGCCAGGAAACATTAAGGCAAGAATTGATTATGAACATAGAAGGGGCAAGGAAATCAATAGATGCTAATAAATATTAGGAAGGAAAACTGTGCCAAGGAAATACACAATTATTATGATAAAACAACACTTGTTGGTAGATATTCTATTTTGCACATGTGTAGTAAAATTACATGACCAGAAATACACTGCAGACAATGATGTCATTTTATTCCACATTTTTACACTTCAAGAGGATTCTGTGTGAGTTCCAGTTGCCTTATATTAGAAATCATGGGATGCACACATCAGCAAAAAGAACTAAGAATGTTTGGCTTTGA